ATAAAAAAAAAGAATAAATATATAAAAAAAAAAGCTAAAAAAAAGAAGAGATGGTCTTTTTATATAATATTTTATATATTATATATAAAACTAGTAGCTAAGTCTGACCGCATTCCCGGAACCGGTTGTATAAATAATACGAAGAAAGATTCTATTTATTAGAAGATTATAATATTTAATAAATAAAAAAAATTATATAAAAAAAAGAACTATATTAAATAAAGTAGATTCTATTTATATATATATTATCTACTAATCAGTTACGATATTACCTGGGCGAAGAACTGAAGTATAGAATTATTATTTTAAATTTTAAACAGTTGTTTGTATAAATAGAAGCTATAGAAGAAAGATAAGAAGAAAAAAAAGACTTCTATTATAAAATTAAGATTCTAATATAAAGTTCAGCTTTAAATACTAATTAATATCTGAGGCCTCGCACGCTATATATTAAATTAGCATTAGTTTAGTATATATAAAGAAATTTCGTACGAACAGACGAAATAATTCTTTATTTATTTCTTTTTATTCTAAGACACATTTTTGATTAGCACAATCCATCCGTCCCGTAATACTAATAATTATATATATTTAAGGAAAAAGCCGATCATACTATAATATCTATTATAATATCTATAAAAAATACTTGATAAATAGAAGGACTTTTTAATAATATAATACTAATAGTTATTATTAGTATACAGACTGCAGAATAAGCTTCTTATTAATTAATAAAACTTAATTATGTTATATAAATTATTATAGAGGGTTCTAAGAGCACAGCTAAAATCTATAATTTTAATATATTTTTATAATTATTTTAAGTTATATACTTATTTTTTAAAGTATATTTTATTATTAATAAATAGAAGATAGTATAAGAAGAACACTAATATATAATAAATATAAGCATCACAAAAATCCGCATTATATTATTAAAAAGAAAATGTACATTATACAAATATCAAAAAATATCTTAAAATAAAAATAAAAATAATTACTTTTTAGTTGCAGGAGTTATTCTATCTAGTAGAAAGTTCTAAAAAAATGATTTATATATTTAAATACTTTTAAATAAAGATTTTGGTCTGGTCGTCGGAAATAATAGAATCATCTGGTTTATCTTATAGAAATAATAACTTAATTCTTCTATTATTTATCCGCCTACTATTCAGCCAATTATTATATTATATCTATTACATCTTAATTATTCTACGACTGTATATTACACTATAAAAGCTTATATAAAAAAGAAAAGATAGTTAAGAAAAGAATAGAAATACTATATTTAATATACTCTAATCTTAAGAATTGAATTTTAAAATACTTAAATAAAGCTCTGGCTCCGGCCCAGAAATTAGTCCGAAAAAATTCTTATTATATCCGATTAAAGTCGTTTCTTATTTTTTTTAATTTTAGTAGAAGATTTGTTTCTTTAAATAACTACAGTTTATCTTTTTAAAAGATTTTACTGTTCTCTGTAAAATCAGCTGACTCATCTAAACAATATACTAGCCCTACTATATATTTAGATATTTTTAAATCGGATTCGGATAAATGGTATAGTAGTACACCTTCAAACAGCTACAAAAAAATTATAAGTATTTATCAGCTAATATAGATATAAAATAAAAACAAAATAATAAAAAAGAACTATTTTTCTAAGTAGTAATAAAAGAATTTTTAATCTATTTATACAGTTGTAGTTGTTTATACGACTATTACAACTTTTACTTACAGTATTTTAATTATTTATTACTTATTAAAATCTTAAAAGTATTACTGGACGTATAAATATAGAAACAAAAGCTATTAATAGTAAATATCTGTATATATAATTAACCTTATAAAATATTATTTAATTAACAGTTTTTTTTCTGTATTTTAAAATATATATTAGAGTTTCTTTTTTCAACATACATATTACAGAGAAGTAGTAGAGAATTAGAATATTAATAAAAAATTTCTGAAATAACGGTATTACTGTTTGTATAAATATATAGATATTTATCTTCTATCTTCCAGAAGCTATTATTAGTAAAAATTAGTAGATTAATTAGAATACTATTCTATTTATCTACCAGTTAGAGAGATTCTTACTAACTCTAGTCCGAGCTGAATATACTGAATAATAATATATAAATTAATATATTCTCTAAAGAAAAAAGTATAATAATTAAGATATTAATAGTATTAACTCCGCGTGATATAGATAAATCCGACGGTAAGATTAAACCAGTTCTACTTCTTATAAACTATTCCAGCCGCTCTGCGTGCTGTGTGTCAGATGATGTGGCGGGTGTAATGGCGGGGGTTGTGACAGGTATTGTGGCAGGTATTGTGGCAGGTATTATAGCAGGTATTATGATAGGTATTGTGGTAGAGTAAGGCTAAGATAATTTCTATAACTGAGACTGAGAGTCCCAGAGGATACCAGATAGTATCACAGCACTCGAATAAATACAAACCTCAGCTGGAGGCTGTACCGGAAGCTAATGTTTAGAAAATACAATCACTTAGAAAAGAAAGAACTAAGAAAGTTTAATAGCAGAAGACTTATTGGAAGAAGAATATTTGTGTAAGTACTTAGAAAAGGATTTTAAACAGAATAAAAGAGTCTATTTTTTAAAGTTATCCGTATGAAATATAGGTAATATATTGAAGTTAGAGAAGAGTAGGAGAATCTGATAAAATATCAATATATAAGAATCAGAAAAGATAGAAATAAGATTAGAATAAGAGAAAATATATAAATATTAAAGAAAAGCAAGTCTTTATACTACTATTATTAGAAGCTTAATTATTTCTTTTTATACTTTTATTCGTCAGTAATTTTTCTCGTCGCTTCTATCTTATATATTATAAGCAGGTTTTGTCTCTGTTTCGGTTACTTCTACATCAGCCAATATTCTAATCTTTAATCGATTTATTCGGAAATTAGTATAAAGCGGTCTTTGCTAATTATATCGGCCTGCTACCTCCAAACCTTTTATTTTAAATTCTTAGAAACAAAAGCTTTTTAAAAACTAATATAAGAATTTTACTATTAGCCAGTAGTTGAGGTAAGAATATACACTCGGCGGATATAGAAAATAATAGATTAAAACTCAGCTATAAATAATATAGAATACGATATTAGTTAGCTACGCCTACAAACCCGCAGCGAGGAATTAATAAGAAAAACTATTTTAACTATAAGAAAAATTTTCTATTATCTTATTCGGGATTTTACGTTTATGTAGATAATAGATGTTACGGGACGGATGGATTGTGCTAATCGAAACGTGCCTTAGAACAAGAAGAAATAGCTGAAGAGCTATTTTATCTGTTCGTACGAAATTTCTTTATGTGTGCTAAGCTAGCGCTAGTTTAGTATATAGCGTGCGAGGCCTCAGGCATCAACTGGTGCCTGAAGCTGAGCTCTATATCAGGGCCTTGGTCCCATAACAATAGAGACGTAAAAAACAAATTGAACAATATAATCAGAAAGAAATAAAATAAAAAAATAAAGTATTTATATTTACTATCTATAATAATATAAGATGCAATTCGCCGTATTATTATAAGTATAAGTAGCTTTAAAATAGCTACTCGCTATAAAATACGTATAAATAAAAAAGAAATAGATAGCTGAAATACCAATAGAGTAATAGTTATTAATAAATCGAGCTTTCGGCGACTCCGATACTGAATAAAAAAGAAAAAAAACGCGGACAGAATATTTATATCGGAAGAGAACAGTATTCGGATAATACAGTATTATAGAAGGGGGCTAGTATGCCGGGAGCAAGATAAATAGTAGAAGAAAGAGAATAAGAAAGTACGTTATCTTTCGAAAAAGAGCAGATAGGATTATATAGATCGAGCGGGGGGTTTGAGACGGCAGGCAATAATATAAAAACAGCAAGAGCACGGGTGCAATTCCCAAAGCAGACACACTAAGCCGTAAGAAATATTAAGACTTTGATATAGAACAGGCGGTAGAAAGCGGCAGACGGACGGTTCAATAAGAGCTGTTTTTAGCGCCCCGCTAACCGTGTCATCGAATACTAAGAATCTTTTCAGATATTTTTTATATAATAGTTATAGGATTGATAACTTTTAACTTTCCTAGTACTTAACTTCCAGAACCTTATGAGATCTTTAGATAAGTAAGGATTGGTTTTAAATAAAATGAACTGCTACTATTGTAAAGAGGACCAGCCTGTTGCCTATATAAGAGAATGCGGTTCTTCATACTTATTGCACCCCTAGCTAGCAACAGGCCGAGCTATATGGAAGCTTCTTCTTTACTGGAACCCACTGGTTAACAGCCTTGATTGCAATTAACTCCCCCGGCTTTTGCATGAACTCAGCTATATTTAATGCTATGATGATCGAATTTATCAGGATCTGTGCTTACCTTCGGGGAAGGGGCTTAGTATTTGGGTTTGTCTTTTTAACTTCCATCCGCGCATAAATCGTATTTCTGGATTTGTAAGCTTGAAGCTATGCGATAAGTTAGTTATTTAATTGCATGTCAAGGCGGGTTTGTCGGCAAATGGATTGGGGCCAGCTTGGTAAATTGTAAGCGAGCTGTGGATGTTCTCAACTGGTCATACATTGCGAACCACATTGCGATGTATTAGGGATTGCAAGAATATAATATTATGCAGGGCACTTGTAGATAGTCGGAAACACATCGGTGGGTTTGAGACGTTGGTGCTTCTTGGCCGGACTAGGAGTTAGTGCTTAGCAACATAGCGTGTTCTAGTGCTTATTAGTCCTTGGTGAACCCCTGCGAGCTGGATGTGATTAGAACATGAATGGTTAGCAGAGAAAGTCGTCCAGCTGGAGGGAGGAATAAGCGTAGATATGTGGACAAGGGCCTTACTATGGCCAGTCTGGGTGATCAGGATCCAACCAATCGACCGACTAATCTGCTGAGTAGAACTGGGATGGAAGATAGAGGATGAACGAATGGATTAACTCAGTGGTGATCTGACAAGATATGACTCTTTATGTGATGTAAAGCTGCAACTTCTTACATAACTGTACACTCCACTCTTTCCACCGTCATATCTAGCCCAAAACTGCTCGTATGGGGCCTTCAGTAAATTATCCTTGACTCTCGAAACTAACCACAAATATTCAAGTGTGATACCATATCTCATTCAAGCGCTTGAGACCTTTGTGACCCGTGGACACAAGCATCGGTTTTCTTTTGGCAATAATCGGTGGGACGGTTTGCGACCTTGATGATAGAAAACTTCGTGCTAACGTCATTGGGTCATTTGCTCCAACCAACTCTGTTTCTTCGCCACCCGGGCTGGTTATGGTTGGGGCTCTTACCGGAACTATATACTGTGTTGCAGCTATTCTAAACTTGTTTCGGGCATGAATGCGCCGAACTTCTTGATTGGCACCTTATCTGCGTAGAGGCGGTCGATCTCTTCGGTGGTGAGGCCGGTCGTGTTGGGAACACAATAATATGCACAAATGAAGATCAAAACTGAGAGACCCGCGAACGGAAATGCGGTCCTCGCCCCCAAATCACCAGAGCCCGTATTGTACATGTAGGGCACGACGAACTGGGTCAGCCAGGTTGACAGCGTCTGGGACAAAACTCCGATGGAGAGGGTTTTAGCCCGAAGACGATAACTCGAAATCTGCGCCGCGATCGGCCATCCGATAGCTTGCAGAAGACTGCTTTGGATCGAGATAAGGATGTTCCTAATAATATCGATATTCGTGAGTGGGCTCGGTATGGGCCAAAAGATCCAGGAAGCATTTCGTACATAAGGATACCAATGGCCCAAACAGGCCCCATTCCAGGGGCCCAGTACAGAGCGCCGATAGTGATCATGAACAGAAAATTGAGAACAATGCCTGAAAGAAGCCATCGGCGCTTGCTGACTTTATGTCCAAAATTGGCAAGGCAGACGATAACGACGATGGCCAAGCCGAACCCCCCAATGCCGATGTCGAAGCAGTGCACAGCAGGCAATCCCACCGTGAGAAGGAAGTAGGTGGACTGAGCCAGGAAAGCACCACCGACCCAGTTGTTGGTACTATAGAGAAAAGCTACTGTCAATGTTCGCTTGAGGTTCGTACCGCGGAAGCAGTCCAGATAGGATGCTGCTTCATTAGACGCTCGACTTTGTTCTTCCACCATAGTCTGGATTAGGTAGGCAATGCGATCCTCAGCATTCGAATGCATACTGTAGATCCGACCGAGGACCTTTTTTGCTTGTTCCACTTTTCCTCGTCGTATCAGATAGACAGGAGATCTAGGGTGTTTTCCAAAATTAGTCCATACGATCTTCTCGCCGTCCAGCAAGAAGAAAATGCAGCACTCACTCTGGGGTAAGCGCAAACCCAACCAAAGCAAGGGACCCTACTGCCCACTGGATTGCAAAAACATTTCGGAATGCTTGAGTTTCGGTGTGTGGCACAAATACCCGCACAAGACCCAAGCCCACTCCCTGCATGAAAACCACGAATAGCACAAGGGAGGCTTGTATAGGGCCTGCGAGTTGCAGCGGCGCGACTTCAGATGCGTAACTTGTTCCTGCCGCCATTCCAGCTCCAATTGCTGCCCCTGTGATCATTTTACCAGCCAGAAGCCAGCCTCGAGTCTCTGCAGTATACAAAACAGCCGTTCCAACCAAGGAAAGCATGCCTGCAGCGGCTCCTGGCCACTTGCGACCCCATCTGTCGGCAACTAGACCGACTACGTACGCACCCAGAGCCTGCGTGAGGGAAGTCATTGATGTCCAAAGAGATGTCCAAACCGTTGGCAGATAAAGACCGGACGCACCAGTGGTGCCGAATCTGATTATGAAGGAAGGCATGGCGATTACGGAACCATTAACAATGAGATCGTAGCCGTACATCAGACCTGCAGTAAACGCCACACTGCCTGATTGAATTCCATAGTTAGTCAAGTGCAACCATCGCCCCGGAATCATAAAAGGCTACTCACAATAGAGAACTGCATGTGGGTACAGCCGGGCTGTTTGCCAAGCTGTTAGTTGACGCTCATCCTCTTGGAGACGACGTCCACGTTCCACGGCATCACTCGGCTCATCGACCGCCTTCTCCAAGTGCGCAGAGGTGGCGTTATCACTCTTCATGTCTTGTCGATTTCCTTGTAAGTAGATAGATATGGCAAAATGAAGCTCTCTTTATAGACGGAGGAGTGCAATAAACTCAAGCCGCCGAAATCTGACGTCCCAGCATGAATGGATTATATATGAGATTGTTGGAATATGATGGAAGTGCAGTTTAAGTAGTTTAACACCTACACCTAGCATGGTAACTGGCAGTGGCCGGCTAAGCCGTCGTGGCGAAAAGTGGTGGGAATTCCCGTGATCGGATTTTAGTTTCTTAAACTCAGATTCCAACTAATATTGAAGTAGCTAGTAGGACGCCATTATTAGATAAGCATCAGGTAGAAAGGAGACCCGGGTGCTCGGTAATTCCGAACCTACGAGCCAACGCGCGTCGAATACCTAATTTGTTAGCGAAGGAGCTTGGTCCAGGTTGCATTTTTCCTGACTTGGCGAATCTGGGGAATACGGCTCCACAGACCCGCCAACCCCGCCGGAAATTTGCCCGGTCTCGGTTCGGGTTATCCCGAATCTTGAGGTACTTGCCTCGGCGATTGCGTTTAAAATTTATATATACCAGCATAATGGCGCCGCACGTACAAATATCTAAGTCTTCTGGATTTACATTGCCTCCTGCAGTGCTCGAATTAATTCGCCATGACGACATTCACGCGAATTAGCGAGGAAGACCAGCCCTCCATTTCTACCTCTGCCGAACACACCATCTCTGAAATTGACCCGTTACTTTATGGAGGGTTTGCAGAGTATGTGTTGGCTATGCTCCTCAATATTCTGATTTGGTTCAATAAGCTGACCGCAGTGAGCTAGACATATGGGGCGTTGCATTTATGGCGGGATTTACGATCCCACCAACAAGAACGGTCTGATCGATGAGAACGGTTTCCGTACTGATGTGATTGAGTGCATGAAAGAACTGAAGGTGCCAATTAGTATGTGACCTCGTCTACTCCGCTCGTATGAAATGTCTTTGGGTGGAAATGAACGCTAATTTTCCCCTTTTAACTATATCAGTGCGGTACCCCGGAGGGAACTTCACGGCCACATATCATTGGCTCGACGGAGTGGGCCCAAGGGATCAACGGCCGAAGCGTGTAGAAGCTGCCTGGAAAGGAGTGGAGACAAATCACTTTGGCACAGATGAGTTCATGAAGTGGTGTGAAATTATCGGCGCACAGCCATATCTTGCGCTGAATATGGGAACTGGTACGCTTGAAGAAGGTGAGCATCGATTCTCTTTCTCTTTTATCTCTCTACTTAGAAAAGCTGATCATCATTTCAATACATCGCAGCACTGGGTTGGCTGGAATATTGTAACCTTGACACTGACACATATTATGCCAATCTCCGAAGGCAGAATGGGCGAGAGGAGCCGTACGGAGTAAAATACTGGGCATTAGGAAATGAAGTCTGGGGTCCTTGGTTAGTATATGCGGATTTTCATCTAAAGTTTATGTAGACTAACATCAAGAACGAAGGCAAGTTGAACAGGCTTCGAAAGAGGACTATGCGAAGAAGGCGTATCAATGGGGCAAAGGCAAATCCTTTCCTATACCCGTTGGGTGAAATTCTTCTCTTCAACATAGCTGACTCGGATCATTTGCAGCGCTTAAACAACTTGACCCAACTATCAAGCTTGTCTTGTGCGGAAAGGACGGACACAGCGATTGGGACCGATACGTCTTACAAGAATGTCTCAAGGTCACCGATCTACACAGTATCCACATATACACTTTTGATATGGAGTAAGGCGTCTGATCACGAAACGAACACTGGTTTCACTTGAGAAAGAAAGACTAATTGCCTTTCTCTTTCCGTGCCAAACTAGACATTATCCTAATGCCACTAGCCCTAAGGCTGCCGAGAGAGCTATTGAGATTGCAGCATCCCTAATCGACTTGGCGCGTACCGAAATGGACTACGAAGACTTTCCAAATTTTGTGACAAAACCGAAAACCTCTCACAGACCCAAGATCTCTTTCGATGAGTGGAATATTTGGAACCCGATCCGGGCTCCAGGGAACAAGGGTGCGGAAGAGCTTTACGACGTTTCAGACATGACAGCAGTGGCGTTGTGGCTCAATGTGTTTGTACGACAGGCACGGCATCTCAGCATAGCCACGATCGCGCAGAGCGTGAATGTGATCGCCCCGTTGATGACAAATGAGGAGGGTGTAATCAAGCAGACCACCTACTGGCCTTTGCTGCTTTTCTCCACTTATATGCGCGGTCACAGTGTAGCAGTTCACGTCCGGAGTCCAGTTTACAGAGGGCGAACTACCCCAGAATGGCTGGCGAGCACGATGGATATTTCATTGTTGGATGTTTCAGCTTCTCTGAGCGACGATAACTATCTTAATCTCGCTGTGGTGAATGTCTCAGACTCCAAATCGATAGAGACATCTCTGCCGGCGATCGACGGTCCAGTGGAGGTTTTTTGTGTTGGTGGTAATGACAATGATATTCGGGATACCAACACGTGGGGTTCACAAAAGGTGGGAGTCAAGGAGTCGACATGGGATGGTCAAGGGAAATTTCTCTTCCAAAAACACAGTTTTACTCTGCTCCGATGGAAGGTCAACCCTTCTCGGTCCAAGATAGAAGATTTCGATACGCCTGTTGAGGGAAAATCAGCTACCGTGCTAAATGCCCTACATGGGGCTTGATAGGAGTATTTAGAGATTTGAATGCCTTGCCCAAAAGAAATCGTATTCATTACGTTATCATATCAGAGACTGCTTAGTTCGGGTTGCAGATGTGGCTGTTAAGGAGTAATTGTCTAGGTGGAAAGCGCCCAGGCCAATGACCATAGGTAAAAACAGACTTAGGACTAGAACCACCACAACATCCGATAAAACTGAAACTTGCTATTATTACTAATAATACTCCTCTAACTTAGACTACTTTTATAAATTTATATCAAAGTTGGTGGAGTTACAAGTATTCAAAATATGCTCTTTTATATGCGATACACAGGAAGCCCACTCGCTTGCCGGCCCACTCGCTTACTGATTGCGTTAAGTTATTAACTAAGTAAACTTGTCGCAATCGACGGCGCCCGCCGCGCCGCGTCTTGCACTCTCAACATCTTATAGTTGCAGGACTTGCCTAAATCGCTCTAGTTCACATCCGCCCGCCATCTCAGACTACAAAACCTTTATTTGAATATGTCTTTTCTATTAAGACTTAATCTTAGCTTGGACAGTATTCAGATTCACTTAAATTACTTTTATTTTAAGACTGTTTGATACTAATTTTTTATAGTACTCAGAACCAGTTGAATAAGTATGCTTTTAAATTTATTTAAAGCTTATATAATAACAGATTGGATATTACTCCGACCGACAGAGAAATAACATAATACGAGTTTTAATAGCTAATATATATAACAATAGTAATAATAAATAAAACACAAGGTTAGAATATATTTCTAATATAATTCTATTCCATACTATATATTATTGTATTTTTCTAATTAATAAATAAATTATATTAGATATTATTTATTAGTTTATTCTGTAATAGCTGTATGCTACGGTACTACGCAGTACAATATTTCTATTTATTTAGACTTTAGCTTTTTTTAGAACTGTTACTAGATATTCTTATCAGCTTCTTATAATTGAAGAGAATAGTCAGGTTCTTTGTCTGCTTTACAAATTATACAAAAATCTTATCAGTATTAGTACTTAATCTAGTTTAATAGCTATAACTGGAATTATACCAGAAGTATAAAAAACACAGACGGAATTTTATTGAAATAGCTGAGATTTACAGAGAAACGTATGCAGCTACTATACAGGATTTAATCTCCGAAAATAATAATTTTTATTATAGATTCTTTGTTTTTAGCTGTAATACAGATTATTAGAAATATCTTTCGATTCTTGGGACCTGCGAGCTTTATCTGGAGCAGAAAAGAAATTATTTTTAAAACTAGGCTTTCTGAAGGTAAAAATCTGTATAATATAAGAAAATATTCATACTAGTTTTATAAAATCTTGCGTCCACAAAACTTTTATTATTTATATAATTAAAGATAAGCTGAAAATACTAGAATCTTTTATAAAAAGTAGATCCTATTAAAGTATGATATCTTTCTAGCAGATTTTCTAAATATTCCTACTTTTAGTTTTACAACTGTTGTTAGAGTGGCTAACGGCCAGGTCAGGTCAGATTAATTAGAATTTTTATATCTAACCGCCAGATTATAGCTAGATTAAAGAAATTTTTATATCTGATTATAGTATAGCTAAAATTCAGACGGTTAACTGTTTTAACTGTTTTTAGTATTAAGATATATCCGCTATACTTCTTTTAGCTTTAGTATAGTTAAAATATATTTAGATTAATAGATTATTAATCTAATTATCTTAACTATTGTCTAAAAGTATATAAAAGAAAGCTTTCTAAATTAAATAAAAATAACTAGATAAAGTATTACTATTTTCTTTATTTTTATCTTTGAAGAATAATAAGAAATTTCTAATAATACTAATAAATTTCAGTTTTAAATAAAATTATTATTTTTACAGTAAGAAATATATATAAAAAATATAATTACAGTTCTAATTAGACTGTATATTTTATAATATAAATCTTTATATCTGATCTAATTAATTTTTTAATTCTAATAATTCTAATTATTTTATTAATTTAATTAATCTCTTTTATACTAATAATCTTAATTATTTTATTAATTTAATTAATTCTATTAATCCTAATAATTTTAAATATTTTATTAATCCGAATCTGCTTAAGATTTTGTATTATATTATCTACTTGATTTTCTTTAATAAATATACTTTTTAATAACTATTTAATTTAATATTAGATATTATATTTCTTATAGTGGATTCTGTAAAAGCCTTTTTTAGATATAAGAATAAGATTTTGATTTATTTAATCTAATTGGTTTTAAGTATTTATAGTTTTAGATTTTAAATATAATTTTTTACTTATTAGATTTATTAAATTAAATAGGTGCGGCGGGTGCCTTGTGTTACGGGACGGATGGATTGTGCTAATCGAAACGTGCCTTAGAATAAAAAGAAATAACTGAAGAGCTATTTCGTCTGTTTATATAAAATTTTTTTAAATATATATTAAACTAGCGCTAGTTTAGTATATAATATGTGAGGCCTCAGGCACCAACTAATATCTGAAGCTGAGCTTTATATTAGAATTTTAATTTTATAATAGAAGTCTCTTCCTCTTCTTCTTATTTTTCTTCTATAGCTTCTATTTATATAAATAATTATTTAAGATTTAAAATAGTAGTTTTATATTTTAATTTTTCACTCAGATAATATCGTGACTGGTTAGTAGATAGTATATATATAAATAGAATCTGTCTTATCTAATATAATTCTTTTTTTTATACAATTTCTTTTTATTTATTAAATACTATAATCTTTTAATAAATAGAATCTTTTTTTATATTATTCACACGACCGGTTCCGGAGATGTAGTCAGGCTTAGCTACTAGTTTTATATATAATATATAAAATATTATATAAAAAGATTATTTTCTTCTTTTTAGTTTTTTTTTTATATATTTCTTTTTTTTTTTTATTATCAGTCTGCTTTTTTTTTACCCGTACGATTCCTGTCATTCCCTTCTTATATCTATATAATATCTTTTTTTTTAATACCGAGGCTGATAAGCCTGAGCAATCGGATGATATATTAGTTTTTATTTATTATAATCTTTTTTAAACTTCTATTACTATTATTAACTATAATTTATTTTTTTTATATACTATATAATTATCTATAATTCTTATACTGACGACGCGGAGTATTGGATTACTGTATAACTAACAGCACACAGAAATAAGATTTTACTTTAATTTTATTATATTTTAAATTAGTAGTATATTTAGTATTTTTTTTATTATAAATTTAAAATAAAAGTCGGTACTTTTATTATAGTTTAGATAAAAAGATCCAGCAGAATTCCTATATAAAATATTAATAGAATTAGATACGTACTAGGCGTCTTTTATATATTAATAATCTTCTGATTATATTCTATAATTTAATAATACTATATTATTATAAATATAATAATTAAATAAAATTTCAACAAACCGTACGACTGTTTAGATAGTGGGGTGGTGTTTATATTAAATATAAGTTTAAAAATTATAATATATACTATAGTTATTATAATCTAAATAAGTTTAAATATAAGCTTACAGCTATTGCTGCTCTCTTCTATAATATTATTAAAAAATTAGTAGACTGAATAGAATATATAATTAGTATCTAATATAGTAACAGTTGGTTTTCTTTATTAGATTAAATAAAACTTTTTTTAATTAATTTAGAGAATTAAAAAGACTTTCCTTCTCTTCTTTTTTTTTATTTTTTTTTAATCTTTTTTTTTATTTTATTTCAGGTCCGTACGAATTAAAATTAGAAAAGAGAATACTAATATTAGCTCTTCTTTATTTTTAATTCTTATTTATACAGCGGCTAGTTAGGGTTTGGCTGGGACTGCAGTTATTATTTTATAACTACTTTTATATTATTAAATATTAAAACTAACTTTTAGATTAGTTTTATATAATTTTTTTATTTAATAAAATATTATAATTAGCTCTTCCGGCCTCTTACCGTATATTATTTATTAAGAATTTCTTTAACTTCATATTTTTCTTTACTATTAACTATTATAAATAATAGTTGTAAGTTTTCTTAATTTTATAATAATAATATATTAATAGCTGTTGGACGAAGTAGATTAATATAAAATATAAAATAAATACTTTTTAATATATTTAATTATAATTATACAGCGTGTGATTTTATTTTCTTTAAAATAGTATATTTTATGTTTTTTTAATCTAACTTTTTATTAGAATAATTTATACAGATATTCTGTAGGTTTAATTATATCTAATTGCTTTTTTAATATAACAGAGCAGCTTATTAAAATTAATTAATCTATCTTTTAATATTCTATTATATATAAATTATAGTATTTTAAATCCAGTTTAAAATATTATATATTTTTATATAATTATATTTTTTTATTAAATAGGACTGGAGGCAGCGACTTCCAAATCTATATTTTAAACTATTTTTTAATTATTTAAATTTAATTTATAATTATAATTTAAAAAAAATAATAAAAATTTTATAGCTGTATTTATACAGCTGTTAATCGCTAATTCTATTAAAAGCAGTAGATTAATCTAATTTTTTTAAATATAATCTATATAAGTTTTTAGATATGCTTCGACAGTACTATTCATACGTTTGATTATTTTATTTATTTAAAAATAATAAATTATAGATAATCTTTTAGTAATTCTTAGTAAATTATATATTTTTTTCTACGTACAATTTATAAACTGAGTATCTTAATCTGAAACTATAATTTTTAAAAAGTTATATTATTTAAAAATTATTTTAATTAAGACTTTAATTATAGCTTCTGCAGTAATCTTCTTTATTATATAGAATATTACTTCTTTTATTAATCTATCTGTAATTATAAAAAGATTCGTACACAATTTGTTTTTAAATAAATTAGTAATAAAATCTATTATTAATTTTTATTAAAATTAGTCCGATATTAGCAGCAGCTTTAATAATTTATATTTTAATTCTTTTTATAATTTTATATAACTATAAATATTACAGTTTCGAATATATCTTCTTATATTTTAGAATATATTAGACTAAA